AGGCTGTATCACCTGAGCTCAGCAGTTTTTCTCCGAGCCATGCCTCAGGCTCCAACCCATTTACTTTTGATGTATACCCAAGTAACACGAAAATACTGTCCTTTTGCATTGTAATGCTTTGTTTATGTGACTACCTGACATATGACAGTCACTTCAAGATTCGTCTAGTCATTGTACGTATAGGCTGGCCTTTGGGCCATGCTCAGGTTTAATTACTTAGTTCTCACTGAAATACATGTATTTAGCGCAGCTTGCTGCTTTTTCTACTCGGTGGGAGGTTTTAAGCTCTAAATATACTACATATACATATACTGCATAACTGCAATTTTCAGACGTGTCCTCACAAATGCATTAATACCATTTGATTTTAGAAATTAAGTACGACATCATGATACCTTCTATCATCCACTTCTTGAATGACTCGCGATCACTTTGTAATTCGTCTTGTTCTAGGCTGTCTGCTGGTTTTCGGGCCGAGCCAAAGTTCAACCCCTTCTCTTTCTTCCAAAATGCCTTACTTAGTGCCTCCTAGATAATGGGAAATCTCAGGACGTTACAATGAAAGCAGTGGAATGCAATCCTGATTGCGTTAAAAATTGTATCCAGGAGATCGCCGTCTGTGGCAAATATCTTCTGTGCAAAAAGAGCATCCAACCAATTCCTATGTTCTACTGGCAGCCTAACAGCAACTGAAGCAAGAGTTTTCTTGAGCTATCTGGTAAAGTTTCGTTACGCATTTATATATAGCATATCCACGTATAGTTGTCGACAGTGGCATCATGCTAAGATCCCTTTCATACAAGACTATGTTCTATCTTGGCTTTCCCTGTTAGGAACCTGTTTTAGACAGGTGTTTCAATGTCTGATCCCTGGCATAATTAATGGGTGTCAGTTTCTCTAACTGATTTGTGTTTGTTCAGGGCAAAAGCAACTCTAGGTTCAACTTAGGCCATTAAAAACATCCAAGTGCATTCCCTCAGCCTCATTACTGCTGATGTTTGGTCTGACTGGCTTGTGAGTGCTTGCTTGTAGCCCTGAAGACGTTGTGGTTGGCAGTGGAGGTTGACCGAGGGGATCGTCGTGGACGTCTTGTAAAAAGATGACAGGAGCAATGAGGTCTTTACTTACTCCTACCTCATGCCTAACTGGCTGCCACTTTAATGCTCACCTATCTCTTGGTTGGGTGGATTGGCCTTCAAGCCAGACCCGTTTAAGGCCTTTTACTACTTAATGAGATACCCCGTGACAGTACAGTACCCACATTGCTATACATGTGCAAGTATAAAACTCAGTCACGTTGGCTTGGGTGGCCATACTGTAGCTTTATGAGACTTCCCGTTAGGTAGAAGAATGCTGTAAGTGGACTCAATACATGTGTTCCAGCGTGAACGAAGGAAATAGCCCTGACCTTGGCCCGAAGGCTAGCCGGCGCGTACAGGATCCAAACGAGTCTTAAAGTAACAGCCAGGTATCAGGTGGTCACATAACCAAACTATTACACATACTGTATTGGCCGGCGACTTGGACCTCGGGCCATGCTTATAACCTCAGTTCCGCTGTCTTGACATATAATTTTACGGTCTTGAGACTTTATATTTAAAATTAAACGCAGATGAATGCCTAGTAAAAGTGACCACCTTAATATATCTGGCCAAAACAATATAAAACATTGAAGATGTGTCTGATCCAATTATTGTGCACTAAGGTACTTTGTTTATGTAACCGTCAGATGCCTGGCAGTTGCTTTTATTTTTGGTTCTCCCTTATTCTTGTGGACTGGCCTTCGGTCCCCACCTACCCTCCCTTCGTGCCAACTTAAGGCTTGATTCCTGTGTTTTACTCAGAATGCATGTGTTAGGCTACACTCAAAACATCACATTTTTATTGTTATATTGATTTTAATGCCTTATTGATAGTTTTTTGCTAAAAAATAATAATTTTTTGATCTTGTAATTTGTGCGGTCTATTGTTTGAATCGGTCGAATCAAGGCTCTTCACTGTACATACAACTTTCTGATTTGGCGGGTTATCCAGACGTGCTTATTGATATGCCACATGTGGGTGAATCTTGTGGTTAATTTGTAGTTTGTTGTCGCTAGGTTAGTGGAGATGACACATGCGGGGCACGTTACTACTATTGCTAACAAATTGTGAGGCATAATTCATGGTTTATTTGATTCATAATTTTATAGATATGAGCTGAGGAGTGGTTTTACATCTATGTTATTCATATCCGTCTACCTTTCACGAATGTACTTCGCTTGTTTAATGATGAAATCATATGCCTTACATTTCATTCATTATTTTGTTTTTCTTTAGGGTATATTAGTTAAACTGATTGATGCGTTTCCGTGTGTTTTGAAAATTTTCGTATGTTTTGCTCTTGTTCTATTAAGCGTTATAACTTTAAGTGTAGTAGCTTTGATAATTGTCCCGACTTTTACTGACGAATTTTTATGCTAATTTTAGGTCCTGATCGATATCCCTGGGCTAGTTATTCTATCGATTGGAATCATCATTTACTTTTTCTTCTCGTCTTCTCCATACTATGATGAACATCTCGTTGATGGTTACAGCCTTACTGCGTTTGGATCAAAAACCGCCTATAAAAATAATGGTCTTAAGTCTGTGCATCCACCTCTACTCAATCATGGCCGTTTTGTTCACGTGAATGCTCTTATCCGTCATGGAACACGTTCTCCTGATAGTAAATTCTCAAAAAAGGTGGAGGAAATACGGCGTAGACTTCAGACAGCGTAGGTGCACTTTAATTTGTATTTTCAAAAATACTTTTAGTCTTCCGGGCGTAGATTTGTCCGTAAACTCATGTGGAAAAGGCGACAAGGTTCTGTTGTCATCTGGAGTAAAAGAGATTAAAGATCTTGGGCGTCGTCTGCGTGCAGTTGTTCCTGAGGAATTTCGTCAAGGGCCGAATATGCTTGTCATTTCAAGCGAAACTGAACGTACTATCGACAGCGCCAAAGCCTTTCTTTCAACGGTACATATTTTCACTTTTTCGCTTCAAAAATTGATATGATCATTTTGCCTGAGGTGACGGTGATTTATTTGTTTTCCTTTGAGATTGGCCGTTGATAATGATGGACGTGGGAGGTTTTGATAAGATCACAAATATTTCGTTACTCTTCTCCTTCAGTACACCGATGACAATGTAACCATCACTGAGGACTTTGAAAGGATTCGATTCTTTGCTGACTGCAACAATTATAT